ATCACGACATTCTAGTTACGTACTGTCATAAAACATAACACTCTTGTCAGGCACCAATTCAAATAATAACGCACAAATATTGTCAATTGTCAAATAATGCCAGCGCTGACTGGTAAACTCCGGGCCCTGTATAACTAACCATCCTGTAAGGTGGGGATCTTTAGCATCACGTAGCTAGCTTTCGACACTATGTACTCCCCTTTATATAATCTAGGCTCGCTTTTTAAATGCAGATGTACCTAAATGTGTTAATAAAGAAATAATCGTTGGTATCCCAAAGCTTCGTTGATGGTAACGTCATGACATCGTATGATGTCAGAGAACATTATACATTTAATCTATGTCTGCATATGTGATCAAATGATCTGTATCACCGAATTATAAATATGCTACAGTAATAATAGCAAGGCGACTGTAGATTAGGGTGGTGAGGAATACATCTATGCACTGGTAATTCAAAAAAAAAATAACTAGCCTAGCTGCGATGTAACATAGTCAAGAATTGTCATTTTAATCTAGAACCACCGACACAGCTCGGTACTCACACCTGAACCAGCGTCGTAATCACCCCCTTCAGAAACTGCAATGTTTACCTACATTATGTGTCGTCATATGTAAGTCAAAATGATCCCAATTATGATACATAACCAAAAACCAGCTTTATTATCATAGAACACCTTACCAACACTCCCACTATTACCCCCCCAATAACATTACAATCGCTGTCACCATTAACAACAATACGAATTATTATAATAAATAAATAAATTTTTATTCGGGTAAGGTACATATATACAAGGTAAGATACAAAAATTAATGGATTTATAGATAGAGCTAATACATACAATGCCTAAAGCCACTATTACGCAAAGCGTTTCGGGCAGGAAGATATTCCCCTATTATAATACTAAATTCCCCTATCCCCCTAGTATTATAATATTCCCCTATTATAATACTAGTATTATAATACTAAAGAGTATTATCTTGTACTCCGTCCAGCCAACCGACATCAACCACGTGTTCGAAGCTGTAGGATGCGATAGGACATATCCGGATGACTGACACGAGCATATTACTTAATAAGGTTTTATCTGCGATCCTTAGGTGACCTCTTTGGCCCGCACCTGTTCGTGTTTTTTGAGCTTCTGCGATAACAAATGACGTCGTAATCCATTAAATAAATACAGCTCAATCGTGACAGCTGGGGGAACAATTGATTGTTTTTCACAGAAGGGATAGCCTAATTTAGTGCAGTTTTTAGATAGCTATTTTGTTTCGGGGGGATTTGCATTTTTGATTAGCAGTAGATGGAATAAATGTATGTTGTTTATAGCACAAAACTGAGAAAAGATAGAAGTAGTAGTTGCCTAATAGTTTATATAGATCAAAAAACAATTAATGCCGCACGACCTTAAATTAGCCAGTAATAGAATTGTTTTAATCAATTAAGCAGTTCATTGCTACTGAATTGAAAAAAACACTATTTTGCGCTCTGACAGTGTTATGAGATAAGAAATTTACGCACGACGCCATAACCATTTCCTGCAGATAAAAATTTGAAAACTGAGCGTCTACATCTCCTGCAGCAGATATATATATATATATATATATATATATATATATATATATATATATATATATATATATATATATATATATATATATATAAAATATATAAATACATATTATATATATATATATATATATTTATGTATATATATATATATATATATATATATAAAATATATAAATACATATATATATATATATATATTTATGTATATATATATATATATATATATATATATATATATATATATATATATATATATATATATATATATATATATATATATATATATATATATATATATATATATATATATATATATATAATGTTCCTCTTGGAGGGAATGCCATCGACGAGGTCCTTGGTAAGAAGATCACTGACCTGAAGAGGATGAACGAAAGGATTGAAGACATCGATGCTCATGATGCACTTTACCTCATCACCAGATGCTTGTCCCTCCCCAGGCTGACCTACTTGCTAAGATGTTCGCCATCTTTCAACAATATTAAATTAGAAGAGTACGACAGCTTGCTGAAATCAATGCTAGAAAAAACCCTCAACCTTTCTCTCAGCGACTCACAGTGGAAACAGGCCTCCCTTCCTGTCAGACTCGGGGGGCCTCGGCGTGCGCACAGTAACACAAATTGATGTACCAGCGTTCCTGTCCTCTTCAGTGGCGTCTAACAACTTGGTGAAGGAAATCCTACCTGAGCACCTAGTTCAACGGGCAGGGATACATGATCCCAGCTTCACAGACTGCACAACCAACTGGATCTCTCTCGCAGGACCAGCACCCCAACCACCGCCTTCTGAAGCCCATAAGCAATCCAGCTGGGGTCGCCCCATTGCCGACCAAGATGTGGCGACTTTCCTAGAAGCTGCGACAACACCACATGACACTGCCCGACTTAGAGCTGTAGCAGCTCCCCATGCAGGTGACTTCCTATTGGCAACCCCAATGTCAGCAACCGGCACCAGTCTCACACCGCAGGCCATCCGAATTGCCGTGGCTCTCCGCCTCGCTGCCCCAATCCACACCGAATACATGTGTATTTGCGGCGAGGCAGAGGCCGACAGGTACGGACGGCATGGCCTTCTCTGCCAAAGGACAGGAGGATGGCATGCAAGACACGGCGAGGTTAACGACATTATTAAGAGAAGCCTTATCACAGCCGGTTGTCCAGCAGAGAGAGAGCCCCGTTACCTAATGTCCCGCAACTCTGATGAGCCTGTCGGTCGCTCAGACGGAATCACGGTGAACCCCTGGAAGAATGGTAGACAGTTGGTGTGGGACTACACTTGCGTTTCAACTTTAGCCAACACCTATGTTGACTTCAGTGCTACACAAGCAGGAAGTGCTGCCAATCACCGGCAAGCAGCCAAGTCACATAAATAAAGAGACCTTGAGCACCACTACAATTTTGTCCCCATTGCCTCAGAGACACTTGGTGCATGGGGTAAAAGTGCTGCTAGTTTTTTGAAGCAGCTGGGATCCAAGCTAATTGAAACTACTAGAGACCCTAGAGCTGCCAGTTTTTTTTCTTTCAGCGCCTTAGTGTGGCGATCTAGAGAAGAAATGCTCACTGCATCCATGGTTCCTGCCCGCCATCTGAGGAGCTGAAGGAGCTGTACAACTTGTGACAAGTAGCCTTGTACCCTGCACGTAACCAATGTTGCAACCCTTTTTGTGTAATAAAATTTTCAAATAAAGTTAGATATATATATATAGACACATTCCAAAAGAATAGGGGTGGTAGGAGAAGAAAATATCAGTGTTCAGTGAGGATCCGCAAGGTCTTCTCTGAGTACTCTTTATTTTCTTCTCCGAGGCTATGGGTCCCTACACTTGCACCAGAGGTGGTACCCCTTTTAGGTTTAAATATATATATATATATATATATATATATATATATATATATATATATATATATATATATATATATATATATATATATATATATATATATATAATGTAAATGAAAACTCACACCCCAGAAGTGACTGGAACCCATACTGTCAGGAGCACTTTGCAACTGGCGTACAGGGCACCTAATCATGTTCGTTGATTAGCACTTGAGCTAAGATTCGCACTTAAGGATTAGGTGCCCTGTACGCCAGTTGCAAAGTGCTCCTGGCAGTATGGGTTCGAGTCACTTCTGGGGTGTGAGTTTTCAGTTGCATGTATGCCTGGGGACCATTCAGGCTTGTTCGCATATATATATATATATATATATATATATATATATATATATATATATATATATATATATATATATATATATATATATATAGCCTCGGAGAAGAAAATAAAGAGTACTCAGAGAAGACCTTGTGGATCCTCACTGAACACTTTGATATTTTCTTCTCCTTCCACCCCTATTCATTTGTTATATATATATATATATATATATATATATATATATATATATATATATATATATATATATATATATATTACTGGAACAGAAGACAAAATAAAACATTACTGTTATCAAATCAGTTATTGATTTATATGCTCAAGTTTGGAAAGTTTACTGTATCATTCGCAAACTGAAAAAAAAATAGCTGCGAGGTGTTCATTTTGGCAGGATAGGCCAATCACGCCAGATATCTGCCCTCCATTACCATCCATACATGGCAAACTCGGAAATATATATACTCACAATCCGAGAATAGAGAGGCTTCGTTATGAGTGAATTTTTTAAATGATTGTGACTAAAGTCAACTGTAGGCTGTGAAAGTGTTTTTGATTAGTTGTGTTTATATTTTTACCTACAGTCTTCTGTCGCTTGGAACCCCAAGTATTTCCCTACTGTCAGTTGAAGGTCACAGAGTACAGTCGTTATGGTCATTCAGTGGCAGTAATAAATCAGAAAGTTGTCATAACTGAACATTATCGTTAGTGGAAAAATACCTGCACTGACCGTATGTAAAATTCATGGATATCAGATCAGACATACGATAAAAACTTAATACAAAATATAATTAATAAATGACTGCATTTTACTCACCGGTAAGTTATCAGTTCTCCACTGTATTAGAGAATATTAGAACATCCGCTTGTGAAGATGAACTTTAATATATCAGCGAACCGAATGGTCCCTTCTGGAGTGAATACAGAAAGATAGTATCACGTAAATATATATATATATATATATTTTACATGATAAAAAGTTGTTCATAAATAAAATAACCTTTTAATAGTGGAATTTTAAACCAGATTAAATAGTGGAAATTTAACCAGATGGTTAAATCTGCAATTACGACAGGCGAGGCTAAGGTCAAATCGGCCATAGATTATAGATTATAAATGCATGTATCGTTAAGATATCTTTGCCGAGGCTAGATAACGGCAGGATGAGTTAAGTTAGGTAGTTTGAACACAACAATAAGCAGCAATTGGCGACCGGCTTGCGTAGGGAATTACGTTTATCTGGCCATATATGGCTCGGTATATATATATTAACTTCCGGCGAGCAGGTGCGCCAGTGTGTGTCCGAGCTTCAGTCTGGTGTCTTGGCTGCTCTCTGGTGAGTATAACCCCGTCTGCTGTACGTATTCTATTGTCTGTGTATCACGTTTCTCGGTGTATATACATTCAGAGTTTACCTTAGTCCTTAGTAACTCTTAGTGACAGAGTTACAGCCCCGCTCCCTGTGCCAGGTAAGTTACGGGTTCACCATAGCACGTGCTACTTGGAACTTTTTGTTCCGAGTAGTTGAACCTAAACCTTAGTCCTGGATTAAAGTAAACTTGGTGGTTGGTCAGTAATCTATTGTGGTGGACTTGATAACCGTCCTGCGTTGCTAGGCCTTAGGCTCGACACCCAGCCAAACTATCTTATGTCTGTAGGTAACGACTAGGGATGGGACGATTAATCGCTATTGAGAAGCGAGAATTTTTCAGTAATCGGAATCAATACAAATATATAATGATATCAGTCTTAAAACTATTCTTTAATATTTATTAACAAAATTAATTGTTTTCGTCTCTGGTAATAATTTAAAAAAAAATTAAATTACGATCATTAACAGTCAAATATTATACTCATAAAAAAGAAACAGAATTCCAGCAGAAACAGGAGAGATGCTTATGTTTTTACATTAAAATTTAAGATTCTTTGGTGTTACAATCAATGTTTTTCTTATTCACTTTACTCGCATTTTGTAGGTTCAAGATTACTGTTTCGGTATAAACCAAAAGATATTTTGTAGATTTAAGGATTATGTGTTGAGTAATCCATAATTTACAAGAATTACAAGTTAAGAACAAAATACCTTTTCCTAACTACTTGGCGACATTCAGTAAATGAGATTCATTAGTTCATTATATTCAGACATTGTTGAAACAATGTAAATCATGTTCAAATATTATTTCATTTTGAGTGCATAGTGGATTGGAAACTTTTCTACAAAGTTTTGCAGTATCGTGTGATGGCTTGTAACCAGGTGACTCACTTAGTAGGCCTACTTAGGCCGTGTTCCTTGTATCTAATTGGTCAGTTAAAAAGATTTAATTTGGAAAAATAATTATTAGTAATAGATGCTGCGCGTCTGAAATTTGGACAAGCCTTCATTTCCTAAATCTTAAGACAGGCAAAAAATTGTCAGAATTTGTATTAATCTAAAAAAAAATACTGTTGACTTTAGTATCATGTTAAACTTATATCTTAGCCTAATACTTGACATATATATATATATATATATATATATATATATATATATATATATATATATATATATATATATATATATATATATATATATATATATATATATATATATATATATATATATATATATATATATATATATATATATATATATATATATATATATATATATATATATATATATATATATATATATATATATATATATATATATATATATATATATATAATAATAAAATGCACCGCTTGAGAACTATAGCCTCTTGAAATAATAAGTTTTACGCATTCTTTTTTCCGGGAACATTTTAAGGATTTGCTCTAACCAGCTGTACTGAATATTTCTTCATGGCGATATATACAATATAGCCTCGTAATGCTGCTATTTAGTTCTCAAAACGTTCAGATTCTCAATTTTATGCATCAGTTCAGAGCAGTAATTCCCACACTTCATGGCGTCATTTCCGGCAAAAATTCCACGCTTTTTGTGTTCTAAGTCAGCATTTGACTCATAGCAACTCGCCCTCAGGCGGGGTGTTCATTCCTCAGATGTTCATTCTATCTAGCGGCCGACCTCAAGAAATGCTTTCATCAATTAGTAGTATTACTGTTGTGCATATTTAGGTGTAGGTTTGGTTAGGCGTTTAGGTTCTGTTGGCAATTATTTGTATTTGAAGTACGTGGGTGAAGCATTTCTAGCAACCCGTCCTAAAACCAAGTCCATTCCATCCAGCGGTCGACCCCAAAGACGCATTCTTCAGTTTTAACATGCTGTTCATTCAAAACAGAATTTTCTCAAATATAAATTACTATTAATATATATTAGCATATTGTGCATATTTAGGCACTGGTTAGGTTAGGTGTTTAGGTTCTGTTGCCGATTATTTGTATTTGTAGTACGTGGGTGAAGCATTTACAGCGTTGTGGTCCGAACAAATGTCGTCAGCGAAGCACTTGTTCCAGAAGTGTTCGGACGTCATCAGTTGAGTTGTGTGTGTAAACCGCTTTTAATTCATAAACAAAGGGTTTGGGGATTGGATTAACAAGCTTGGAGCTTTGTATGCGAAGACGAGATGCACAAACAGCGGGATGCTTATAGCCCACTTGACCATGTTCGAAACTATGACTTGAAACGTGCTTCGTTTGCTTTGATTTGGGGAATCAAATATTCGTAAAATATCGTAAAAAAAGAGACCTTGTCTAAACCCGTAATAGATAATATTGTTTCATATATAAGAAAATTCGCTTATACTGTATTTAATATTCATCCTGTCAGTTGATTTTCTGCTGTACAAGTCTCTCATTAAAAGCATTCATAAATCTGTGTATCTATGTATTTACGTATGTAGCTTAGCCTAATATTTTAAAAGCACTACGATCACCTTCTGTGGTTGTTCAATAAATCTCTGAACTGTATTACAAATCTTTTACCCTGTCCATGGAGGACAGAAGAAAATGTATATATGTTAGTTAGCATTGTAAATGTGTGGCCACGTCTGTGGTAGAAAATAATAATAATAAACAAAAATCCAAGTCAGTATTTTACTTTATAGCTTGGGCTGGAGGGCATTTTGGTGGTCTTATGCCCTTAATTTCGTGGCTTATGCTCTTACTTCAGATAACTAACTATCTCTTTTAGTTTCAGACATGTCTACCTTAACCCGTATAGAGAACTTCTTAGATAACCTCGCTGACCGGTTTCGAAGAGAATTTGAGGAGAATCGCAGGGATGAAAAGATTCTAGAGGACGAGATCGAGGCTACCCATGCTGAGACCAGTGAAACAAGTAAGTCACTTAGTGCGTTGGAATGTGATCCATGATTGGACACTGTTTTACACACTATTCTGAAAGCTGATCCATGATTGGATATTCGATTTATACAGGATTGGTCCAGGATCAACTCATGTCACCTTTGAACATTTGTCGACTGTTCCCAGTTAACAATGGAGAGTTGTCTCCGACCTTATTTGATCTCTTTAAAGTTTTGGAAGGAGTAGAATAATTAGGTTTTCGAGAGAGAGGAAGCATTTGCTGTTGTGTTTGGGAAGGTGATTATCCGGAGGCGAGGAGTAAGGAGACTCATCCAGGTATTGTATATATATATATATATATATATATATATATATATATATATATATATATATATATATATATATATATATATATATATATATAACCAGTAGAGGACTAACCACAAAGTGAAGAAACCTGTTCATGTTGCATTTGAACATGAAAACTCGGGTGTTCTTCCAGAGTAGTAGAGAGAGAGAGAGAGAGAGAGGAGATAGTGGGTAAGGACGAAGTCAGTACAATTAAGAAGATCAACAAAGGAGCCAAGCTTGGAGTGTGTATGGGTGAACAGGTGCAGCGAAAGTGGGGAGAGGGGGTGGGAGAGCATGAGTGGGGGTTTTAGACATATTCACACAGAATGGAACTCGAAACGTTGGATATAATTTGAAGAAGTTTATATTCAAGAAAGATCTGGGTAAATACTGGTTTGGAAATACGATTGTTGAGTTATAGAATAAATTACATAATTTTTCTTGACACTGTTGTTAATGACATAGGGAAATGTTCGAATGAAGCATCGTTAGCCAGATTTTGGACAGCAATTGAGTGATATATAGGTGACATGTTATCTAGAAAAGGAATTTAGAATGAATGTTTATTTGAGCAAATGGTATCACCTGCTGGATGGGAATATTGCAAATATAATGTACTAACTCGGGCATAGTCTATAGTAAATTTGACGTACTAGAGGTGGAGTATATTTGTATAAAGCAGAGTTGGAAGCATGATCAGGGTCAATGGAGTTTCTTTTTTTAATATATTAGAAGTTTAAGCTGCTACATAAAGTGGTCTTGGTAAGTGCTAGGTTGGGAAAAGTTATAACCAATTAACCGAGCTAGGATTGTAGATAAATAATGGGGTGAAAATATGAAAACATGAAGGATTTATTAGATGTAATCATTTACAAAAGAGCTAAATGATGTACTACACAAATATCATATCTATCTGAAATAAAATAGAAGACTTAAATGCACATAAAAAGTACATGATATTGTAATCACAAAAATTGTATGAATTCTGAAAGCAGGGAACTATTAGCAGAATATTAAATAAGGGATAACGATTGCTTCACACTAATAGATAAATTAGAAAAGGTGGGGGAGTAGCCATGGTCCAGATTCACGAAGCAGTTACGCAAACACTTACGAACGTGTACATCTTTCCTCAATCTTTCACGGCTTTGGTTATATTTACTAAACAGTTTACAAGCATGAAAACTTCCCAATCAACTGTGGTAGTTGTTATAAACAGCCTCCTGGTGCTTCGGAGCTCATTAACTGTTTAATAATTGTAAACAATGCCGCCAAAGATTGAGAAAAGATGGACAGATTCGTAACTGTTTGCGTAACTGCTTCGTGAATCTGGCCCCATGTTTGTCAGAGTATAATTAACATAGTGTCAGCATGAAATTAAATCAAGAGGCATATTCAGAGGCAGTTAGGATTTAACTGAATGAAGATAACGATAGGCTAATAATAGGCGTTATAGATAAGCCAACAAACCTGGACAAAATAGAAAGTAGGCATAATAGGTGATTTAAATTTAACTAAATTAACTGGACAAATAAGCATGCAAATATTAGAAATACTGAGGCAAGAGTTTTTAACTGTAAATACAGTCTGCTTTCTCCAAAAGTATATTAGAACAACCCTAGGAAAATAATATTTTATATTTATATTAAATAATATAATCTAAACAGAGACACTAATAATATGGAAATATGGAGTAGAAGAGGGGTAAATGAATAAAAAAAAGGGGTGAGCATAGCAGGGTGGGAAGGGAAGGGAGGAAACTATCAGGGGGAAAGCGCCAAGCCATTACGACTACATAGCCCTGGGAAGGGGTCAGGATAGGAATTTGGGATGGGACTTAGGGAAAGAATGTTGCCCAACCAGAGATGAAATAATTATTTTATTATTAACATCTATACTGACAAAATTAATTGCAATTTTGCCTAATGTGAGGATTTCGATTAAGTCTTATTAAAGTAAGGATAATGCTGGTATTCACTGTCACGCAAGACAGAGGGTCATACACAAGACAATAGGTCTAAACTGTAGGCGGAAGCACATATATATCATGGTTACAATCAATGTTTTAATGTATGGAAATGTGAAGACAACTTTCTATTGTGCACTGCCACACAAGGGCAGGGATGGGTTCATAAGTGATGCAGCTTAGAAGTAATATAGATCAAAATTGTTCTTCATTCTTTAAAATGGACAAGCAAATTTTGGATAAATTGTTAGGATGTCATCCAGAACACCTGAGTCAATGAAATAGTTACACAGTTGGTGGTACAAGAGGCCAGGAGGTCTAAAGTCTTTTACGGTTTCACATTCAACAATATAGTGTTCTAGTGAGTGCACTAAAGGTTTATCACAGAGTTTGCAATCTGAGTATTCTGGTAGTGGCTCAGCCTCACTAACCTGCCAGATGTGTCTATAGCCAAGGCGAACTACCACAATGACTACATCACATTGCCTGGTCCGGTTACTGTGCTGACCATACAAATACCTATTATTACAAAACTTGTCATAACTTTTAATACTGCAGCTTTCAGGTCTCTGGGCATTTCTTAGTTCTTCTAAATCTGAATTAATTTCTTTAATTTGTATGTTTCTAATAACTACATTAGATAGTCCAAAGTCATAATCAATGTTTTCTTTCCTGCAAGCCTCATTGGCCAATCGATCTACAAAGTCATGTTTTCCAAACTCCAACATGGGATGGGATCCACACAAATTTTATACAAGAGTTATTATCATTGGCAAAAATTCCATTCCATTTAATATTACAAGCTACTTCAGACATACATTGTGATGGGTTATTTAAGGACTGCAGAGCACTTTTAGAGTCACAGAATATCACTCCACCACCATTGAGCTTAAGGTATTCAATGGCTAGATAAATGCCCAATAGCTCGGTCTGTGTCGTGCTTGCCCAGTTGTTCAATCTCTGTGTACTAGACATGATCATTTCATTCCTTTTATATACTGCACATGCACAACCTGTTCTACCAGTGCCTAACTGCACAGAGCCATCAGTAAAGGCATAGGATTCAGTCGGTTTGAGAATTTGAAGATGACTGTCAATAGCTTCTAATTTTATACATCTCAAAATTTCAGTGTTTTACATTTGTTTTACACTGATGGGGGTATAATGTAAAGAGACCTGCACATCTTACCAAGGGGAAATATAGTGAACAATTTTATCAGGATTAAGAGACACATTCAGTTTCAGAAGATTATAGACACAACCTATAATCCTATAATAGGCACAACCCAACTGAGCCATACACTGTAAGGAGCTTTTTGCAGCGGATTGAAGGAACAGTCAGAATTGTTTAGAATGGGTCTCAATTTAATTTGAATAAAGCTGGGGGGGATCATTATTTTTCAAAATTTTGGCGCAAAACATAGTACTAAGTAGAACTATTCTTTCGTAAATGGAAGGTAATTTTAGTTGCTTTCTCAAATTTACAATTCTGACAGTTCTAGGACAACCCAGGATGATGCGCATGACATCATTCTGTACTACATCTAGGCCTTGTAATTGTTTAGGAGAAAAATTAAGAAGATGTAAGGCATAATAATCAACAACAGATCGTATAAAGGCAATGTAAAAACTACGAATATATTTACTGTTAATGCCAAATCCTTTGCCCACAAGAGTTTTGAGAGGTTTAAGACGCTCAACAAATTTTTTGCCCAGGTTGCTGATGAGATTTGTATCATTAACCTCGACTCCAAGATATTTATAAGACTCACAAGTCTCCACGGGCACTCAATTAATAGTATAGTTAACATGAAAAGAATGGGGAACAAGAACCCTTGTTTTACCAACAGAGATTATGAGGCCACATTCTACTACTTGGAGAATGCATTAAGTAACACTTGTAGCCTTGGTTTACTGTGTGCCATAATATAAATATCATCATATCACCAGCATAACATATAACAGTTTCAGTAGGCTGTACAGGTATGTCATGGATAAATTTGTGCATAAGTATATTGAAGAGCATAGGGCTTAGTATAATCAATTAGATGAAATAAGAAGGTGGAATGTGAGAGGTGTAGGGTGGTGATGCCTCAGGGGACAACTCCAGCATCCGGCAGCATAATCACTACGGGAAACCCCTGCAACCTCCGCCCTCAATGTTCAACACCTGTATCACACTAAATATCTGGCTTACGCACGCGCGTGAGCGCACACACACACACCATCCTGTGTGATGAGGATTTTTATCGTCACGTAGCTAGATTTTTGACACGCTGTACTCCCCTTCATATACTCTAGGTTAGCTGCACAAATGCAGATGTATCTAAATGTGTTAATGAAATAATAAAATATTTTTTTTTTAGCTTGAATCTATGGCCTCTAATTCTTGTAAATGCATGTTTCAAGAATTCCTGTTAAATTTGTCGATTTCTTTGACTATTTTGTATGTAGTGATCATATCACTTCTTTTTTGCATCTTTCTTCCAACTTGCCCATATTTAATACCTTTAGCCTCCCTTCGTTAGTCTTGCTTTCTGTCTCGAAAGTCATTTAGTTGCAAATTTTAGTTGCATCTTTTCCAGTTCATTGGTGTGATTGTTGAGATATGGCCACCATACAACTTCTGTATATTCCAATTTTAGCCCCACTAAAGTCGTGACCAATTTATTTCATATTTATATGTCGATGTATTTAAAAGCTATTCTAAAGTTAGAAAGCCTAACAGAGACTCCTCATACAATGTTCTTGATGTGGTCATCTGGTGACAGTTTACTATTCAGAACCACGCCTAGATCTTTTGATATCAAAGTTCTTTACAGCATTGCACACAGAAATAACAGTAACGTGATGTATTAAATGCGTGATGCGTAATGATGTAAGGGCGAAGAGGGAAAACAGCCTATTGACATAGCTCGAGTGCATGGGGGAAGTTGTGTAAAACCCTGATTTGTGTCTCAGAGAGGCTGCAGGATCCAGTAACTTCAGTAGAACTTCGGTTTCAACTCTTTTTTGACCATGTCATAGCTCAGTCGATTAAGGCAGCGTCTGGGATGCTCTTGGATGCAGGTTCGAATCCTCGTCACGGCCCTTGTGGATTTGTTCTTTATAGCATTTTCACATAATTTGTAGGTTATGTGTGACTTGTTTCTCCTATTCCAGATTCCTTATAGTGGCATTTATTCACATTGAATTTCAGCTGCCAAGCGGTACTCCCATACACTTATTTTGTCCAGGTCTTCTTGAAGGGCATGATAATCATCTAAGTTTCTTGTCTTCTCTAGTAGCTTGGCATCATTAGCAAATATGTTCATATAAATCTGTATTCCTTGTGGTAGGTTGTTCATATAGACAGTGATTATTACTGGTGCTGGAATTGAACTCTGCCAATTGAAATTGAAATTGTAACATTTAACATTTAAAAAATATTAACATGTAACATTTAACAAATCTCAAGTAACATTCCTCCAGTCTCACACTTTCCCTCTGATAACCGCAGTCTTTTTTTTATGTTTGATTTTTTTCTTTTTACCTGAAGGCCACCAATAACCCTAGTGGCCTTGACGAGGACAGGAACCCGGCGGCTTGTCGAAGGCCCCCCTCCCCCATTTGCCTTGATGAAATTCATCCATATTAGGTGTATGTTCCAGTTTCCAAAATAATCTCTTATGTGGGACTCTGTCAGAAGCTTTTTTTTTTTAAGTCCAAATAAATACAGTCAACCAAACCATCTCTTTGTCAAATCTGTGGCTCTACCATATAAACTAAGAGATAGGTATCTTATCTACCTATCTGCTAAGATTCCCTGAACATAAAGTTGCCTGGAAAATCAGTTGAGTGGAATGCTGAGCTCAGATGCGCAGCAATCAAAGGGAAGCTCCTTCTAGGTCAACTGCTGTTTCTACCTACCTCTCTGAGTATTTTTACCACCTCGTCTGGAAACACCTCTATGCACTAAAACTCGTATTGTGTCTGGTACTCTGAAAATCTCATACACACTTTGGAACTGTTCGTTTAGTGTTATTACGCATTTCCTTTCCTTCTCTGTGTGCAGGCGATGAGTCACAATAACGTGGCTGAAGAATGTTGACCAGACCACACACTAGAAGGTGAAGGGACGACGACGTTTCGGTCCGTCCTGGACCATTCTCAAGTCAATTTCTTCTCTGTGAATCTGTTTCCCCCATTTTCAATCTCTAGATTTTGTCCTGTACCTACGAATGACTTTATAGAACTGACCTGGTTCTGTTTTACTTCTGTCTGGTATTCTTTCCTCAAAAAATTTCCTCCTGCCCCTCTTCTCTCTGCCTTGTAGTTATCTCTTGCTTGTTTGTATTACTGTTACGTTTACTTGAAACGTTTGTTTAAGTGACAATAATAATAAGTTTTGCTCACAAGAATGTGTGTACAAAGAACTGCCCGAAACGCTTTGCATAATAGTGGCTTTAGGCATTGTATGTACTAGCTCTATCTATAAATCCATAAGTCTTTGTAAAATCTCTTGTATGTATGTACCTTACCTAAATAAACATTTATTTATTTATTTATAACATACGACGAATTGACAATGGTCGGGGCAGGCGTTATACTTACTAATGAAGCCTACGCGAAGCATTTTTCATGTGGACAAAAATACTTAAAACTAAAAAACTAATTTTACTTAAAAATTTAAACTTAAAATTAATTTAAACTTAAAACATAAACTTAAAAAATATAAACTTAAAACTTGTGTAGTTTAAAACAATATAAAATTAAAGTATAGAAAAAGAAATAAAAACACAATTATTACATGGTGATTGGTACAGCAGAAATTGCAATAGAACAACAGACAGGACTTTTCACAGAATAAACCGTAGGAATACAATATTTTTAATACAATTATACACGACAGATATCAGCAGCATTACAGGGTTTACTAAGTAATGTTCCATAATAGCAAAACAGTTTGACATTTAGGAAGTAAAGAGGAATATACAGAGTTGAAGTTATTTTCTTACTTTGCTTCCATCAACATTACCTCCTTCTTGTCCTTCCAATGTCCGTTATTGACCTTATTTGGTTTTTCTGAGTATTTTGTAAGTAGTGATCATGTCTTTTCTGCAAATCCCTCCCCATGGTGGATAGTGAAAAGCGAGTATACAACCCTTCTTTTTGTATATATTTTGTAAGTAGTGATCATGTCTTTTCTGCAAATCCCTCCCATGGTGGATAGTGAAAAGCGAGTATACAACCCTTCTTTTTGTATATATTTTGTAAGTAGTGATCATGTCTTTTCTGCAAATCCCTCCCATGGTGGATAGTGAAAAGCGAGTATACAACCCCCTCTTGACCCGCAGATGCCGTCAAACAGGTGAAGATAGTGTCCGTGGACTTCCAGGCCCAGCTCAACGCTGAGAAGCATCACTGTGACAAGTACAAGCTGGTGAGCATCAAGGAAGGCACCCCCATCATCCGCAGGAGCGGCTCCTTCTCCATCGTCGTCGAGTTCAACCAAGATATCGACCTTAAGAAGCAGCACCAGCTTACTCTCTACTTCTCTTTCGGTAAGTCCGCAGTGCAGGCGTTAGTGGGTCACCATAATAATAGTATATTATTACATAATTACATATTACATAATACCCACAATAGCCTTCAGACCAAGCAACAAGTATATTTAAATCCCGAACGTAGTCCAAGACTGGCTGAAGTAGGCTCTCTTAAGTGTCTACGCCAATGTACATAGGCTTTCCATGCTATCTTTATCAACATACATTTTTTTTTACTCTGTATTATACATATATTTTACAAAATGCATTATTTGACCAAAATTTTTGTAATACGAAATGTACTATATTACACGTTATGTAATAACAGTTTTCATGTCACTCTTGTCAGTAAGGAATATTAACCCAACTTGTTATGAGATAGAAAATGAAACATGACGTCGCGCAGTTGTCAATATATCCTGAAATATATCAAAATATTCTCAAATCACAATTTAATTCGATTTGTCGTGGGAATGAAGCCTTTGTAAATGCAAACGCTAGGCTAGCATCGCTGCCCCCGAAGGTCAGACTACTGACGTAGGCCGCAACGAACAGCGGGATGTTGGAGGTTGCTACCCACAAGCAATTTACCTATTTATATCAGATACCTATTTACTGCTGGGTGAACAGGGGCCATTAGATATTGGGAAACATGCCTAACCATTTTTATCCCGCCTGTGAATCGAACCCGGGATCCCTCCCCCCATTGTGCGGTGAGAACGTAGCCGTATCGACTCAATGAAGACGTAAAGGAATGTTTTATTTTTATATATATTTTTTAGTTGGGTAGTTGAGCAGGTGTGAAGATATATCATTTATCACCAGTGCTGTAAAGTGCCGCCAGACAGCATCCTTTCCCGTGACGCTGCTCTCAGTCACAGGAATATCCTTCCCAAATGTTATAATAATAATGCTAATAGTTTATTCATGTAAAGGTACATACGAGTTACATGTAGTTAGTTAAATGAGTTACAAGCACAATGTTGGATTTGTCGATAGATCGTAGCATATACTAGGCCTAGAGCCATTAATATTCACAGCGCTTCCGGCAACACTTACCTTTATCTTCATGTAACTTTCAACATCCCGTGAAATGCCTCCCACCCTAAAGCTGCCCTCAGTTTCGCCGTAAAATCCCTCTTGTCCCTATTAATGCCTTGAGCTCCTGTGTGAAATCCTCCTGTGGGAAGCAGCTCCCAGCGCCATCTATTGCTCGTGTCTGCAGGTGCTGGCCCCAACGCCCAGGCGGGGACTCTGGTCGTTCTTGTGGTGACGGGGAAGAAGCTGTTCGACAAGCACCATGAGAACTGGGACGTCCGTCTGGAAAAACAGGCAGGAACCAAGGCCACCTTACAGGTAAGGAAGATTCAACGTTTCAATAGTAATAGAATGGATGTTCCAACTGTGTGTGTGAAAGCCTTTATATATATGGTTAAATGATTTGATTTTCCGTATATGAATGATCGCTGATGGGGAATGATGTTTATATAATTCCTTCCTTCTGATGTTTTCCCTCCCTTCGGGGGGCCAGATTCACGAAGCAGTGATGCAAGTACTTACGAACGTGTACATCTTTCCTCAATCTTTGACGGCTTTGGTTACATTTATTAAACCGTTTACAAACAGCGAAAACCTCCCAATCAACTGTTTGTTATTGTTATAAATGGCCTCCTGGTGCTTCGAAGCTCATTAACTGTTTAATAATTGTAAACAAAGCCGCCAAAGATAGAGAAAAGATGTACAGGTTCGTAAGTGCTTGCGTAACTGCTTCGTAAATCTGCGTATAATAATAATAATAATAATAATAATAATAATAATAATAATAATAATAATAATAATAATAATAATAATTTATTTAGGAATGTACACACATAGTTGCAGCATTACAGTGCAAACATTCCGTTAGATTTAAAGATAGAGGTAGTACATACAATACCTAAAGCCGCTAGTACGCATAGCGTTTCGTATCGTTTCATATCTGTGTCATCCTTATGATTGACACCTCCTGGGCTGTCCTACAGATCCAAGTGTCGTCTGAGGCTCCTGTAGGAGTATGGACGTGCGCGATGGAGGTCAAACCCAAGGACGACCCCGACCCCTCCCACAGACACCTCCTCCGCCTCGACACTCTGCTCTACGTCCTCTTCAACCCTTGGAACGAAAGTAAGCTGTCTGTCAATCTGTTGAATCAATCAATTCTTATGTCACGTTGATCGACGGAAGGACTTGTATCGTTATACTGTTATCAAGAATGTTTGTCTTTTGTGTTAAAAATGTGTTAAAAACGCATATATATATATATATATATATATATATATATATATGTCGTACCTAGTAGCCAGAACTCACTTCTCAGCCTACTATTCAAGGCCCGATTTGCCTAATAAGCCAAGTTTTCCTGAATTAATATATTTACTATAATTTTTTTCTTATGAAATGATAAACCTACCCTTTTCACTATGTATGAGGTCAATTTTTTTTTATTGGAGTTAAAATTAACGTAGATATATGACCGAACCTAACCAACCCTACCTAACCTAACCTAACCTATATATATAGGTAAGGTTAGGTTAGGTAGCCAAAAAAAGCTAGGTTAGGTTAGGTTAGGTAGGTTAGGTAGACGAAAAAACATTAATTCATGAAAACTTAGCTTATTAGGCAAATCGGGCCTTGCATAGTAGGCTGAGAAGTGAGTTCTGGCTACTAGGTACGACATATATATATATATATATATATATATATATATATATATATATATATATATAAAGAATACAGTATTGATGTCATTGAGTCTTCTCGACATATAGGTCGCGTTTTTTACGGTATGGGAGCCAACTTTAGAAATCATTTAACATGTTATTGAATCATCAACTAACATGCAATTTAGTTATCAAGGACCAGGCTGTTCAGTTATCATCTACTATGGTATGTAATCATCAATTATCATGTTATTTAGTCACCACCAACAATGCAGTTCAGTCATCAACACCAATACTATTGAGTCATCAACTACTGATTGATTGATTGATTAACATTTAAGCCACCCGAGAGGTGGCACGGGCATGAATATCCCCCCGTAAGATCAACTACCCTACTAATTTCTGTCTGATTTTTGGCAGATGACAGCACTTACATGGAAGACAAGGAGAAGCTAGAGGAATATATCTTGGCTGATGTTGGCAAGGTAACTAATTACTCTTCTTCTCACTTAAGACAATTTAATGTCACCTCTATGTCTCATTAAGAGTAATTACCTCACAGTGACTACTGGGAGAGAGAGAGAGAGAGAGAGAGAGAGAGAGAGAGAGAGAGAGAGAGAGAGAGAGAGAGAGAGAGAGAGAGAGAGAGAGAGAGAGAGAGAGAGAGAGAGAGAGAGAGAGAGAGAGAGAGAGAGAGAGAGAGAGAGAGAGAGAGAGAGAGAGAGAGAGAGAGAGAGAGAGAGAGAGAGAGAGAGAGAGAGAGAGAGAGAGAGAGAGAGAGAGAGAGAGAGAGTGAGGTCTGGCACTTTATGCAACCCCCCCCCCCCCCCCCCCCCCCCCCCGCCTGCAAGCTCCTGTTGCACGTCTTGCCTTTGGCAATTAAAACAAAAATTATTCTGACGTTCGAGTTCTTTGTCGAATCTGGCTTCAAAGTTGGGGCATGTAATGTCATGGGAAGTTAGGAAAGATGTCCAAGTTGATGATGTTCTTGACAGAGTAAATTACTGATCTTTTGATCTTTTTTATATTCTGGTGTTTTGTTTTTTAAGTTTTTTTTTTTTTTGTCCTTTCCATGCAGCGCAGTGGGCTTCGTGCTGGATTTGTGAACCATGGGGTCCCGGGTTAGATCCCCGTAAACGTTTAGGCACGTTTCCTTTCTGTTCCCCCTTAGTAGTAAATGGGTACCCGGGAGTTAAGCGAGTGTTGTGGGTTGCACTCTGGGGGGGATGGGGGGACGTAGTAGCTGGCCTAGGGAGGGAAGGGGGCATCCTCGACAAGCCCAACAGGCTTCCTGTCCCCGGCCTCAGGATGAGGTGAACTATATTCATACTTACTTAATATCTATTGTTTCGTGTACTGGTTCCCATAACCTGTGATAGGATCATCTTAGCCTTAGGGCGCCTGACAGCTGGGTGGACAGCGCTTCGGATTTGTAGTCCTGAGGTTCCGGGTTCGATCCCCGGTGGAGGCAAAAATGGGCAAAATGTTTCTTTCACCCTGCCCCCCCCTGTTATCTAGCAGTAAAAGAGGTACCTGGGAGTTAGACAGCTGCTACGGGCTGCTTCCTGGGGTGTGGAGGCCTGGTCGAGGACCGGGCCGCGGGGACACTAAGCCCCGAAATCATCTCAAGATAGCCGCCCTGGAGCCTAGCTGTCAGCAGGTCCGTCATCTTAACCCTCTAGGCTCAGTAGGTTCATCATCTTGACTCTATTTCCATCCTCTTAGCTCTATATAATCTCAGTTGAAGCATCTTCTTAGCTCTATCAGTAGAGCCATTACCTAAACTTCATCAGACTCACTTCACGTCGGCTCCAGTAACCTCACCCGACTTGGAATAACTTCCCCAGACTTGGAATAACTTCACCAGACTTGGAATAACTTCACCAGACTTGGAATAACTTTACCAGACTTGGAATAACTTCACCAGACTTAGACTAACCTCACCAGACTTGGAATAACTTCACCAGACCTAGACTAACCTCACCAAACTTGGAATAACTTCACCAGACTTGGAATAACTTCACCAGACCTAGACTAACCTCACCAAACTTGGAATAACTTCACCAGACTTGGAATAACTTCACCAGACTTGAAATAACTTCCCCAGACTTGGAACAACTTCACCAGACTTAGACTAACCTCACCATCTCCTCCAGATCTGGCAGGGAAGCTACCCTACAGCCAAGGGGCGGCTGTGGGTCTTCGGCCAGTTCGACGACGTGGTTCTTCCCGCCTGTGTCCTGCTGCTGGAGAGGTCGGGCCTGAGACCCGAGGCCAGAGGTGACCCTATCCGTGTCTCCAGGGCCATCTCCAGGATAGTGAGTACTAGTGAATCTTATTTTTTTAACCTTATACTAGTGAACCTTTGCTCCAGAATAGTGAGTACTTGTTGTGGGTTTGTCTCTGTGTATTAAGGGGTAACAAAGTGATAAGTCAAGCAGCGTGGTACTCACCTATTTGTGCTTGCGGGGGTTGAGCTTTGGCTCTTTGGTCCCGCCTCTCAACTGTCAATCAACTGGTGTACAGATTCCTGAGCCTACTGGGCTCTATCATATCTACATTTAAAACTGTGTATGGAGTCAGCCTCCACCACATCACTGCCTAATGCATTCCATCCGTTAACTACTCTGACACTGAAAAAGTTCCTTCTAACGTCTCTGTGGCTCATGTGGGTACTCAGTTTCCACCTGTGTCCCCTTGTTCGTGTCCCACCAGTGTTGAATAGTTTATCCTTGTTTACCCGGTCGATTCCTCTGAGGATTTTGTAGGTTGTGATCATGTCTCCCCTTACTCTTCTGTCTTCCAGTGTCGTAAGGTGCATTTCCCGCAGCCATTCCTCATAACTCATGCTTCTTAGTTCTGGGACTAGTCTAGTGGCATACCTTTGGACTTTTTCCAGCTTCGTCTTGTGCTTGACAAGGTACGGGCTTTATGCTGGGGCCGCATACTCCAGGATTGGTCTTACATATGTGGTGTACAAGATTCTGAATGATTCCTTACACAGGTTCCTGAACGCTGTTCTGATGTTAGCCAGCCTCGCATATGCCGCAGACGTTATTCTCTTTATGTGGGCTTCAGGAGACAGGTTTGGTGTGATATCAACTCCTAGATGTGGTGTGTGTGTGTGTGCTATATTCATTCAGGCCATTAAAGTAGCCTGCTCTGAGCACTCTAATTTTTTCAAAGTAAACGTGTCGGCCACTCGGGACACTCGATGAAGAGCAACCCGTTCTCGCACTTCCTCTAAGTCAATATTGACTTATTAAATAAGTGCATATGTGACATACTAATTGATTGTAAATATTTTAGTTTACCTTGAAAAGCTTCATAGAAAACACCGACCTTACCTAACTTTCTTAGTATGTTAAGATAAGCATCTTATTGCTTCGTAATTACAATTATTACTTAACCTATTATAGGTATAGGTTAAGTAATAATTGTAATTATGAAGCAATAAGATGTTTATCTTAACATACTAAGAAGGTTAGGTAAGGTCGGTGTTTTCTATGAAGCTTTTCAAGGTAAACTAAAATATTCACAATAAATTAGTATGTCACATATGCACGTATTTAATAAGTCAATATTGACTATAAGAAAGTGCGAGAACGGGTTGTTATTTTTTTGTTGTGAATTGTTCAATAAATGTGTTTGATGTTTACCTTTTAACAGGTAAACAGCAACGATGACAAGGGCGTAGTTGTGGGCAGGTGGGACGGGACTTATGACGACGGAACATCGCCCAGTGGTTGGACGGGTTCCATCAAGATCCTAGAGGAGTACGTGCGCAAGAACAAACCCGTCAAGTATGGACAGTGTTGGGTCTTTGCCGGGGTTGTCAACACTGGTAAGGGAGCATTATAATAATGTTTACGTACCTAGGGACCATTGTTGTAATGTATACGTATATAGGGACCATTCTTGTAATGTTTACTTATTGTGCCTTTATCATATACCACTTATTTAGGGACCATTGTTGTAATGTTTACGTACTTAGGGACCATGATTATAATGTTTATTTGCTTACGGAGCATTGCTGTAATGTTTATATACATAGGGATGGTCCGTCTAATTACCGCAAGCTACCACAAGCTTCACAAAGCTTCCTGGCAAGACGTTAGTAATGAATAAATATGATATGTTTGGTTAGGTTGACCTAACCTAACCTAACCGACGCTTGGATCGTCGACTTGATTTGGCGTCTTTATTTTTTGTCTAATTTCTTTATAAAAAGATACTTTTTCAGATTAAAATTATGTTTTTTTTCGTGGTGTACATTCAGCACCAACATTATAATGAGTAAATATATCATATTTATTCATTACTAACGTATTGCCAGGAAGCTTGCGGTAATTAGACAGACCGCATAGGGGTGACTAAGGATAGTCTGGCTGTGTGTGTGTCACACCGTTGGTCTGACTATTCACGTGGTAACCAGCTTCAACCACCTGGGCTAAGATTTACCAACCATTTACGCAACCACTTACGAAGCCTGTATATCTTTCCTCAATTATGGCGGCTTGTTGAGATTTAGTAAAAGAGTTTATAAGCTCTGAAGCACCGCGTGGTTGTCTATAACAACAATAGTCTTGAGCTGTGATGTTTTGAAACTCGTAAACTGTTGAATAAAAGTAAACTTAACCGTCATAATTGAGGAAAGATGGAGGGGTTTCGTAAGTGGTTGCCGATATGCTTGTTCAATCCTGGGGCCAGATTCACAAAGCAGTTACGCAAGAACTTACGAACCTGTACATCTTTTCTCAATCTTTTGCGGCTTTGTTTACAATTATTAAACAGTTAAATGGGCTCTGAAGCACCAGGAGGCTGTTTATAACAATAACAACAGCTGATTGGCAAATTTTTATGCTTATAAACCGTATAATAAATGTAACCAAAGCCCTCAAAGACCGACGAAAGATGTACACTTTCGTAAGTACTTGCGTAACTGCTTCGGGAATCGACCCCTATTGACTGATAACCTTGCGTGTTGAAATCCTGATGTTCCTCCACTTGTCTCTAATGATTGACAACATGTTGACGTGTGTGTGTGTGTATGACAGTGTGCCGAGCCTTAGGCCTGCCTGCGCGAGTGGTGACCAACCTCAACTCAGCCCACGACACCAACGTCTCCCTCACCATCGACGAGTACTTTGACACCGAAGGCAATGAGATCAAGTAAGTCTGAAAGTGATTACGTCTAAAAAATAATTAAGCTGGAGAAAGCTAAGGGCGATTGAATATATGATAATCAACTTTGTACCTTAATTATAAAAATAGGAGTTATATATAAGTTTAAATTATATAAGCACTTACATATATATATATATATATATATATATATATATATATATATATATATATATATATATATATATATATATATATATATATATATATATATATATATGTCGTACCTAGTAGCCAGAACGCACTTGTCAGCCTACTATGCAAGGCCCGATTTGCCTAATAAGCCAAGTTTTCCTGAAATAATATATTTTCTCAAATTGTTTTCTTGTGAAACGATAAAGCTACCGATTTCATTATGTATGAGGTCAATTTTTTTTTATTGGAGTTAAAATTAACGTAGATATATGACCGAACCTAACCAACCCTACCTAACCTAACCTAACCTATCTTTATAGGTTAGGTTAGGTTAAGTACCCGAAAAAGTTAGGTTAGGTTAGGTAGGTTAGGTAGTCGAAAAACAATTAATTCATGAAAACTTGGGTTATTAGGCAAATCGGGCCTTGCGTAGTAGGCTGACAAGTGCGTTCTGGCTACTAGGTACGACATATATATATATATATATATATATATATATATATATATATATATATATATATATATATATATATATATATATATATATATATATATATATATATATATATATATATATATATATGTCGTACCTAGTAGCCAGAACGCACTTCTCAGCCTACTATTCAAGGCCCGATTTGCCTAATAAGCCAAGTTTTCCTGAATTAATATATTTTCTCTAATTTTTTTCTTATCAAATGATAAAGCTACCCATTTCATTACGTATGAGGTCAATTTTTTTTTATTGGAGTTAAAATTAACGTAGATATATGACCGAACCTAACCAACCCTACCTAACCTAACCTAACCTATCTTTATAGGATAGGTTAGGTTAGGTAGCCGAAAAAGTTAGGTTAGGTTAGGTTAGGTAGGTTAGGTAGTCGAAAAACAACTAATTCATGAAAACTTGGCTTATTAGGCAAATTGGGCCTTGCATAGTAGGCATAGAAGTGCGTTCTGGCTATTAGGTACGACATATATATATATATATATATATAGGTATGCCCTAATTTCTGTATACTGTAATAAGTTTTAAAAAATAAACCTTTCTTTCTATATATATATATATATATATATATATATATATATATATATATATATATATATATATATATATATATATATATATATATATATATATATATATATATACAGTCATAGTCTTACCTCTCGGACCCCCACACAGGTACCGGTCGGATATTATCAACCCGGGTGGCTTGAACGACTCTATTTGGAACTTCCACGTTTGGAATGACGTGTGGATGGCCCGTCCAGACCTTCCTGACGGCTATGGCGGCTGGCAGGCCATCGACGCCACCCCACAGGAGACGAGTGACGGTGAGTACAGTACCCACAGGAGACGGGTGACGGTGAGTACAGTTCCCACAGGAGACGAGTGACGGTGAGTACAGTACCCACAGGAGACGAGTGACGGTGAGTACAGTTCCCACAGGAGACGGGTGACGGTGAGTACAGTTTCCACAAAAGACGAGTGACGGTGAGTACAGTTCCCACAGGAGACGAGTGGCGGTGAGTACAGTACCCACTGAAGACGAGTGATGGTGAGTACAGTACCTACAGGAGACGAGTGACGGTGAGTACAGCACCCACAGGAGACGAGTGACGGTGAGTACAGTACCCACAGAAGACGAGTGACGGTGAGCACAGTTCCCACAGGAGACGAGTACCGGTGAGTACAGTACCCACAGGAGATGAGTACAGTGAGTACAGTACCCATTATTACTAACATAAAGCTAGTTATGAGTAAGATTATTACAAGAGTGGTGTGTCAAGTGTACGATAATGACGTAGAAGGTCTACGATAATTATGAAGCTACAAAAACCAAATAACTATAAATGAATGTTAAGGCCTTACAGTAGAATTGATGTACGATAATTTTTTTTACTTGACCTAAAATTGGCAACTAATGTGCAACAGTAGATCGCCGCTAGTACTGTGTGCTAATCTGCTTTACAATCTAACCATGATAATAGGTTGATTTAACAATTAGCTAGTACAGCTATTTGACTACTAGTGGTTGCTTGGTATTTCTGCTAGTTACGATAGATTGATTGATAAAGATTAAGCCACCCAAGAGGTGGCACGGGCATGAATAGCCCGTAAAGTAACGATAAACTTTGCAATCTTTTTATACCCAGCAAACGCACAACGTCAAACAAAAAGTAACTTTGTGTTTTTATTGTGTTCCACATAATTGTTTATTTCCACAAAGAGTACTTTGATAGGGACGGTGTTACAGGAATATAAGGAGGGTATAGAAATAGCCTAAGCTACTCTATCCCTTTGAAATGCATTTGATTGCCCGAAACGCTATGCGTATTAGTGGCTTTAGGTATTGTATGTACTAGCTCTATCTATAAATCCAACATTATATCTGTAACTCCTCATCTATGTATATACTTTTCCTCAATAAAAATTTGAATGTCTCAATAAACGTACTTGAACAGGAATGTACCAGTGCGGGCCGGCGTCTCTGGAAGCCGTCCGCCGCGGCCAGATGGAGCTGAAGTACGATGTGCCCTTCGTCCTGGCCGAGGTCAATGCCGATGTGGTGCGCTGGAAGGAGGATAAGGACTCTCAAGATGGATTCAAGAAGCTCTTCGCCGACAAAGCCCAGTATGTAGAGCCTCTAGTAGTTCTCGCTCTTCTAGAAATGGAGTTGAATGCTCTAGCAGCGTATCATCACAAAGGCTTCTGCTGCCTCTTTTTTTTTACTAGATATATCCCAACATGTACTCCATAATAACGTTATTTTGCTATTTTTATGTTGATAAACATTCTAATAACGTATTTTACTTATTTTACGTTGATAGCAAGGTACTTTACTAAGTCTTACATTAGTACAACGTTTTAACAATATACTTTTCAACTTATGTTGCTTCAACACTTTAACAGTTTATTTTACTACAGTATTTTACGTTGATACAACGATGTAAGAACGTTTTAAAAAAGTTGTAACAACGTTAAAAAAAAGTTATAACATTAAAATTATAGATAACGTACGCGTAATGTTTAATATTCAAAATTAAAAGCTATGTGCTTGCGTTGCATGTTTACCAAGAGCAGCACACAGACACACACACACACACACACACACACACACACACACACACACACACACACACACACACACGTGTCACACACACTGTAAACAAACATGTTGTGTTGTAGCGTGGGTCGCCAAGTGCTGACGAAGAAGCCCGGCCCAGTAGACAGCGGGAGGTTCTACGAGAAAGACAAGGAGGAGTGTACCGTGGACTACAAGCCCCAGGAAGGGTCCAGGGAGGAGAGAGTCACGCTTCACTCCGCTGCCAGACGGTAAGTCGCTCGTCGCTAATCCGTCGCTGCCAGACGGTAAGGATGTTGTTGTAATAGAGTCAGCTACTCGGAACACGTTCCAAGTAGCACGAGCTATGGTGAGCCCGTAGTGGACTTACCTGGCACAGGAGCGGTGCCGTGGGGATGAATGAATGAATTAAATATAGGTCAAGATACCCCGCCATGGGGTGAGTGGGGATTGGGGGGGGGGGGTATTCATGTGAGGGTTGAATGTCAGATATTTAGGGATAGTCTCACCCAACTTTCACACACGAAACATGTGGGGTATGGGACTGTCATAGGCCAGTTGGAGTCCGCTAAAATGTCATTATTTACGAAATATCAGCATCGTAATTCCTCTCTCAACCTACCCAGTTATTTATTTATTTATTTATTTATTTATTTATTTATTTATGCATATACAAGAATGTACATAAGGAATGTGAGGATACAAATATGGTAATTACAGTCTTGTAAAGCCACTAGCACGCGCAGCGTTTCGGGCAGGTCCTTAATCTAAGAAAATTTTAGCCAGTTGGAGTCCGCTAAAATGTCATTATTTACGAAATATCAGCATCGTAATTCCTCTCTCAACCTACCCAGTTATTTATTTATTTATTTATTTATTTATTTATTTATTTATGCATATACAAGAATGTACATAAGGAATGTGAGGATACAAATATGGTAATTACAGTCTTGTAAAGCCACTAGCACGCGCAGCGTTTCGGGCAGGTCCTTAATCTAAGAAAATTTTAAGGAGGTAAATACTTGCAAAATTATAGTCAAAAAATGATAACAGATTACATGAAATGAAAAAAAAGATGAGAGAAAATTGTAGGTACAGTATATTAAAGCACATAGGTAGCTAAGATTGATTGCAATGACAGCTTGAATGGTAGTTGACAAAAAAATTGGTAGGCACAATACAGCAGAAACAATATAAGATTGGTTGCAATGACAGCTTGAATGGTAGTTGACAAAAATTGGTAGTCACAATACAGCATATGGCTAGCACATAAAAGAAGACAGCAATGAACACAATGATAAGGTTGTTTGAAATTACATAAAAATTAGGAGATTGGGTAACACTAGGTACAGAGCAAATTTAAAGCTCAGTGTAGGAAACTAAGAAGATGAAGTTAGGTACTTTTTGGTTTTGCTTTTAAATAAGGCAAAAGTTTTACAGTTTTTCAATTCATTAGGGAGTGAGTTCCATAAACTAGGTCCCTTAATTTGCATAGAGTGTTTACACAGATTAAGTTTGACCCTGGGGATATCAAAAAGATATTTATTTCTGGTGTGGTGATAATGGGTCCTATTACATCTGTCCAGGGAGAGTTTCAGAGCATGGTTTGCATTTAAGAACAGGGTTTTGTAAATGTAGTTGACACAAGAGAATGTGTGGAGGGAGTTAATATTTAGCAAGTTTAGGGATTTAAACAAGGGAGCTGAGTGTTGTCTGAAAGCTGAGTTAGTTATCATTCTGATAGCAGATTTTTGCTGTGTGATGATGGGCTTAAGGTGGTTTGCAGTGGTAGACCCCCATGCACAGATACCATAATTAAGATAGGGGTAAATTAGTGCATAATATAGTGAGAGGAGAGCAGAGTTAGGAACATAATATCTGATTTTGGAGAGTATACCAACTGTCTTAGAGACTTTCTTAGTTATGTGTTGAATGTGGGTGCTGAAGTTGAGTCTCTTGTCTAGGAATAGGCCAAGAAACTTGCCATCATCTTTATTACTGATGTTAATGTTGTCTATCTGTAGCTGAATTGCATTTGATGATTTGCTTCCAAATAAGATGTAGTAAGTCTTTTCGATGTTTAATGTTAGTTTGTTCGTTGACATCCATAAGTGGACTTTTTTTAATTCATTATTCACAACATTATTTAGTGTATGTGGGTTGAGGTTTGAATAGATAAGAGTAGTATCGTCAGCAAACAGTATAGGTTTGAGAATATTAGAGACATTAGGCAGATCGTTTATATATATAAGAAATAGAAGAGGTCCTAAGATGCTGCCCTGTGGCACTCCAACGGTAATTGGTAGAGTGGACGAAGTTGTATCATTGATGGTTACATATTGGTGTCTGTCACTAAGATAGGATCGGATGTAGTCAAGGGCAAGGCCTCGGATTCCATAATGCTGGAGTTTAAGTAAGAGGTAGTTGTGATTAACAGTATCAAAGGCTTTTCTTAGGTCAATGAAGAGTCCAATCGGAAACTCATTTTTGTCAAGGGCTGAGTAGATAACGTCAAGGAGACTAATGATTGCATCGTTGGTGCTCTTTTGGGACCGGAAGCCAAACTGGCAGGGGCTGAGTATGTCGAATTTTACGAGGTAGGAATAGAGCTGTTTGTAAATAATTTTTTCAAATATTTTTGATAGAATGGGTAGATTTGATATTGGTCTATAATTGTTTATGTCCGCCGGATTGCCTCCTTTATATACTGGCGTTACTCTTGCTTTTTTGAGGATATCAGGGAAGGTGTGACACTCTATAGATTTGTTGAACAGTAGTGCTATGGGTGGGGCAAGGGCATGGGAGGCTCTCTTGTACACAATGGACGGAATTTCACTGGTGTTCCCTGCCTTGGTTTTTAGAGAGTGTATGATGGACACAACATCTGCCGGGCTGATTGGTGAAAGGAGAAGAGAGTTTGGATAGCTGCCTGAGAGATATGTGTTAATATGTGTCTGAGTCTGTGGGATTTTACTGGCAAGATTAGCACCAACCGATGAAAAGAAACTATTAAATTCATTTGCCATTTCTAAATCAGTTGACGGTATATCCCCATCCTTGTAGAGTTTTATTTGGTTATGTGAGTGTTGCTTAGTTCCTAGGATACTAGAGATAGTTTTCCAAGTGTTTTTCATGTTGCCTTTTGCTTCATTGAATCTATTCACATAATATGCAAGTTTTGCCTTTCTTATGATACTGGTAAGCATTGATGAGTACCTTTTAGCTACTTCCTTTGAAACTAGGCCAATCCTAACTTTCTTTTCATATTCATGTTTCTTGTTGATTGAGTTGAGAATGCCACTTGTGAGCCATGGATTGTTTAATCTTTTGTCAGTTACTTGCTTGGTAAGAAGGGGACAATGAAGGTTGTAGAGGCTTAGAGTTTTGGAGAGGAAGAGGTTAGCTAATGAATTTATATCATGGGTATTATTGAATTCAGAATCCCAGTTAATATTGTGAAGTGCCTCTGTAAGATTGTCTAAAGCTGATTCACTGTGTAGCCTAAATGAAAGTTTCTTGCTTTTTGGTGGTGTTATGTCCATGTTCGCTATGAGAAAGGTAGGATAGTGGTCAGTTGTTCTGTCGTAGATTATACCAGATACAAGGGGAGCTGTTATGTTTGTCCATATGTGGTCCAAGGTAGTGGCTGATGTTTGAGTGACTCGGGTAGGTTTGGTGATAGTGGGGATTAGCATACAGGAGTTCATGCTGTTAAGGAAATAGTCAACTTGAGAGCAGTTTTGTTGACCCAGGTCAATATTAAAGTCTCCTCCCAGAATGATGTGGTTTTTGTTGAGATTGTTGTTTATAATAAGATTCCTTAGGTTGTCTGAGAAAGAAGCTATGTTAGTATTAGGAAATCTATAGATGGCTCCAATAGTCAAAGAGGATTTAAGGGATTTAATTGTAAACTGAGCAAAAGTATATTCACAGTAGTCATCTCTGTCACTAATAACACTGTTGCAGATAAATGTATCTCGGTAATATATAGCTGTGCCACCACCTTTTTTATTAGGCCTACAGTTATGAATGGCTTTATAACCAGCTAAGTTGTAGAGTTGGGTATAGTCTTTATTTAGCCAAGTTTCTGTTAAAATAATGAACGATAGGTTAGTACCTAGTGCTGTGAGTAGTGCATTTAAATCGTCAAAATGTTTACCAAGTGATCTAACATTTTGGTTATAAACTGATAGATAGTTATTTTCATGAAGTCTGAAATCAAATCCAATGTGTGTTGTTCGTAGATATCGAGATTTTCATGGTTTACTCGTAACTTATTATAAACATGAATTCGTTCGAATTGGGGGAGAGGGAAGGAAAGAGAAGGGGAAAGAAGGAAGAGAATAGGGGGAGATGAGAAAGGGGGGGAAGGATTGGTGTTATTGGGAGAGAGGGAGGAGAGAAAATGAGGGGAGAGGGGGAGACGGTAGAGGATGGGAGATAGTAGATGTGAGAGGGGAGACTGAATGGAGAGAGAGAGAGAGAGAGAGAGAGAGAGAGAGAGAGAGAGAGAGAGAGAGGAGGGGGGGGGAGGGACAGAGAGGCCAGAAACCCGGGCATCGACGGGTACCCCATCTAGTAATCATATCCATTCTGTAAAGCCTTTAATACCTTCACATGTGTGTAGATCCTATAGTTTATGCACTTTCTGCAGGACTCGAGCCGCTCGCCACGCCTTCAGATTCCCGTCAGAGGCCATTGAGGACGTGGAGTTCAGCATCCAAGACGTTGAGCGAGTTCCCATCGGCGACGACTTCGCCATCACCGTCAAGGCTTTGGTAAGACGAGTCAGCGGGGAGGTCACGCAGATGCAGTCACCTCGAAGCTGACCCGGGTGGCTTCTTAAATCACAAGAATATTGCAGAATATATAGTTGTGAGTATTCTTTTTATGCGTAGAAGATAATGCGAGACCATCTTGCAGAACACGAGCGAAGCGAAGCGTACAGTCACCATCGTGATGACAGCCGCCAGCCACTACTACACTGGCGCCAAGGCACACGACATCGCTCGCGCCGAAGGCACCTTCGTCCTGCAACCCAAGGAAAGTGAGTTCGATGATCATCGGTGCGAGTTAGTTGATTGTGAGTTACTGCCAACATAATTTGTTTTATCACTCCCTCGCTATAACATGTGCTAATCTCTTATCTCATCCCACCGCGCGTGACCTCTCGCTACCCATCAGACAAGACCCTGGCGCTACCTGTCACCTATAAGCAGTACTACCACAAGCTGGTAGAACACGCCATGATCAAGCTGGTGGCTATCTGCACTGTGGAGGAGACTTCGTATGCTTGGTTTGGTGACGACAGGTTCGAAGTTCTCAAGCCTCGCATCAATGTCCAGGTGGGTACACACTCTGTGTGTGTGTGTGTGTGTGTGTGTGTGTGTGTGTGTGTGTGTGTGTGTGTGTGTGTGTGTGTGTGTGTGTGTGTGTGTGTGTGTGTGTGTGTGTGTGTACTTACCTAATTGTGTGTGTGTGTGTGTGTGTGTGTGTGTGTGTGTGTGTGTGTGTGTATGTGTGTGTGTGTGTGTGTGTGTGTGTGTGTCCAGGTGAACAGCATTAATCAACTAAAAGTGTTTAATAATAGTAATCCTACCCAAATGTGTGTGTGTGTGTGTGTGTGTGTGTGTGTGTGTGTGTGTGTGTGTGTGTGTGTGTGTGTGTGTGTGTATGTGTGTGTGTGTGTGTGTGTCCAGGTGAACAGCATTAATCAACTAAAAGTGTTTAATAATAGTAATCCTACCCAAATGTTACGTAGCCCAGACCGTCTCAATTTACCACTATGAAATGCAACAGTTGTCCCCCTAACCTGTAATGTATAAACTCAAACATCTCGCCTAATCTTTCGAGGCCGATGCAAAATACAGTAGGGCGTATTTTTAAACGGATTGATTGATGCCGTTTCAAATGCGACGTATTATGGGGGGAAGGATGAGTTGGTTACGGGTAGCTGGCACCAGCCAGATTCACGAAGCAGTTACGCAAGCACTTACGAACGTGTACATCTTTCCTCAATCTTTGGTGGCTTTGGTTACATTTAATAAACAGTTTACAAGCATGAAAACTTGCCAATCAGCTGTTATTATTGTTATAAACCAGCCTCCTGGTGCTTCTGAGCTCATTAACTGTTTAGTAATTGTAAACAAAGCCGCCAAAGATTAAGAAAAGATGTATAGGTTCGGAAGTGCTTGCGTAACTGCTTCGTGAATCTGGCCCCCGTTGTTAACCACTTGATAATGTTGTCAGATACTGGCGCCGGGTGTGGCCGGGAAGCCGCTGCCCTGCAAGTTCTCCTTCACCAACCCGCTGCCCATCGCCCTCACCAGCTGCGTTCTGGTGATTGACGGACCAGGACTCACACGCCCGAAGAAGATCCCCATCAGGTGGGTACTGGGGCTCGTAGGTGGCTGACGATGTTGCACTAACATCTGAGGGGGGAGGGTGGTGGGCTGTTATAGTAGGGGGGGGAGAGTGCTTTATTAGCAGGAGAATGAGGCTGGAATTGTTATTGACTTGTAATGTACTTGTGGTTAATGCTGTAAGATTCATTACTTGTAGCAAAGCTTGCCCCAATTGGTAATTTTTTTTGTTTCTGGTCAATCAGCCTTGTAAAATTGTGTTTTTCTTCCTAACTATTGTGTGTAGGTTTCGTTTCTGTCCTGTGAAATTGGGCATTTTGTCGTTGATTTTAGGTTGATTATGTTTATGTCTGGGCTCCTATTTAATTTTATTCATTCTTACATTATTCTCTCTAAGCATAGTTTACGGAATTCTTCAATGTATTCTATTGGGCAGTGTTGTGTAATGGATCTGTACCTACGCATTTTGACATATATACTCTACCTAACGCCAAAAATTGTCGTAGTAGAAAATGGTCGCTGCTCGCAAAATTTACATACTGTCCCATTTTCTGTGTTGGGTGCTCTAAATTTTTTTTTTAAATTTTGCCCCGAGGGGCGAGTTTATTGGGCAGCGCCACTCATCTTGTGAGTGAACATACCGCCATAGTGACAGTATTGGGCAGCGCCACTCATCTTGTGAGTGAACATACCGCCTAGCAGAATGTACAACACTTTCTTGACGTTGGGAAAGAAGGGTAGAAATAGCCTAAGTTACTCTATCCCTTTGAGATGTATTTCTTTCTTGTCTCAATATCCTAGGAGGACGGGCTGTTTGTGTACACTTTGACCATACCCCATAAGTCAATTCGTGGTGTAGTGGTAAGACACTCGCCTGGCGTTCCGCGAGCGCTATGTCATGGGTTCGTATCCTGGCCGGGGAGGATTTACTGGGCGCAATTCCTTAACTGTAGCCTCTGTTTAACGCGACAGTAAAATGTGTACTTGGATGAAAAAACGATTCTTCGCGGCAGGGGATCGTATTCCAGGGACTTGCCCGAAACGCTACGCGTACTAGTGGCTCTACAAGAATGTAACAACTCTTGTATATATCTCAAAAAAAAATAAAATAAAATAAAATAAGTCCCCGGACTAAGTTTTCTAGTCCCCGTGGTGTAGTGGTAAGACGCTCCCCCTGGCGTTTCGCAAGCGATTTGGCCTGGGTTCGTATCCTAGCCGGGGAGGATTTACTGGGCACAAATCCTTAACTGTAACCTCTATTTACCCAACAGTAAAATGGATATCTGGTTGTTAAAAGATTTGGCGGGGTCGTATTCCGGGGAATATTAAGATTATGGACTTTCCCGAAACGCTATGCGTGCTAATGGCTGTACAAGAATGTAAAAACTCTTGTATATATATATATATATATATATATATATATATATATATATATATATATATATATATATATATATATAAAAGAATGCTTATTAATTGTTGTATTTGCAGTGATGTTGGTGCCAAGGCGGAAATGGTGTACGAGCTGAAGGTGTACCCCTTGACGGAGGCTAACTGCACCTTGGTAGCCACCTTCAACTCCACTGAACTGCTCAACCTGTCTGGTTCAGCCCCGGTGGAGATCGCTCCGGCCGAGAGCTAATCAAGCATGATGTGAAGCCAGCAAGGGATGGGGGTGGTAGAAATAGCCTAAGCTACTCTATCCCTTTGAGATGTATTTCTTTCTTGTCTCAATAAACATACTTGAACTTGGTATGAAGCTCTTAACACTTGTGACACAGTATTGTGTAAATGCTTGTTTGGAAAGGTGGCATCTGGTCCTGATTGATGATATTGTAACGCGCTGCTGTTGACTTGTAGAGATAATATTCGCTGGTAATTTACAGAATTATACAGCCTTTGTTTTTTATATACACAGCCCCTTTTAGAGAGATAGTATTTACATGTTTTTTTCTCTGTTACCCTTAGCATTAATATTAAGTCAAGTGCTATAATTTCAACAAAAGTTTTGTGTCGGAACTAGTTTTAGGAGTCGTATATATTACTATATACAAAGCCGCTCAATGGAGTTATAGCTCATTATATAACTATTTATGTCATCTTTCAATAAACTAAAATTCATCCTAGAATTAAAGATGTAGGCCATTGAAGTAAACACCTTAACGATGGAGACAATTTCTTAGCGTTAGGAATATTTACAGAAATAAAAAAACCCGTTGGAGCGGTTATAGAGTGTTCCGGGAAGATGCGGATAATTCTACCTGAAGCAGCCTCAGTGAATACCTAGTCTTAGAGCGTTATCAGGCTTTCAGTACAATATAATGAAAGGTTTCAGCACAGAGTTAGTAACGACGTTTTGGGTCCCATATGTTTCAGGGTCAAGATAAATCATATGTTGTATGATTGCAGCATTTTAGAACTACATTAGGGGGTAAACTTGGACTCTGAAGTTTACTTGAAGTTTACTAATATTCTTAGATCAAGACGTGATCCTTTATGCACCCAGTTAATTTTGTAAGATCCTTGTGCATCAGATTAACTAAGACAACTGTTAATTTCATATACGTGTGTGTTATTAAGAGCAGTTTCACTTAAATTAAGGTTAGGCGTATTTTAGCATTTCTTATTTTTAAGTATGGACCCGCATTAGAGCTCTTAATTTACAGTTTCCTTAGCATAAAATAAATGTTTGTAGCGATGTATACCATTTAGGTTTTATGAGTACTTATAAAAAAAAACACAACCTCATAGATTTTGCATTGCGGAACATATTTGTTTTATAATAATAGAATGTCCCTCTTTTTTAAAGTATTTAAAAAATGAGTGGTTTTTGGGGAGGGGAGTTGAATTTTTTATGAGGTGTATTGTATTTTAAGTGTTTTGATTTTGATATATGCTTTTTACACCATCCTATCAATACTTCTCATGGATTCTGCGCATCAGGAACGACATTCATATGTAATTCTCACCAGATTCTTTACCCAAAGCAGTGAACTATCCATGAGAAGCCCAGTACAGAGGCAAGAGTTCAAAGCTTAACTCGCCACTAAAAATAAGCACTATTTTAGGCGCCAAATTGAAGGTAGCCTCATATTTTTAAATAAAGATTTACCCATTGAACTGAATTTCGCTTTATTGACCCTGTATTCATCTAGTGTGAGTGTTCTTAGTCACCTAGTGTGAAAATGTTCTTATCTTAGTCACCTAGTGTGAGGATGTACTTCCTAGTCACTTAGTAAGAAAGTAGTTATCAAAAGGCATCAAATCCGGAAAATTCAGCACCGTCTTTATCACAGAAGAATCAACAAATTCCTACATATCGTTGAGGCCAATACGAGAGCAAAATGACATACAAAAAAAGCGACATTAAGGGTGTCAGATTCGCCGAAGATTTGAGTTTCAGATTAACTAAGACAACTGTTAATTTCATATACGTGTGTGTTATTAAGAGCAGTTTCACTTAAATTAAGGTTAGGCGTATTTTAGCATTTCTTATTTTTAAGTATGGACCCGCATTAGAGCTCTTAATTTACAGTTTCCTTAGCATAAAATAAATGTTTGTAGCGATGTATACAATTTAGGTTTTACGTAAAATCATAATTTCCCATCATCCTGAAAATCTGGACATTCTACAAGCAGCTGTGCAACTTTGAACAAGGTGATGCAGTTTCAGGCAATGTGACGCCGCAGGAAATCATTTTACCCATTTGTCTCCGCCTCCACCAGGGATCGAACCCGGAACTTCAGGACTACGAATCTAAAGCGCTGTCTACTCAGCTGTCCTGTGCCCACACTTTTGTGTTCATAAGTTAACCGCGTGTGGCAATACGTAGCCTAGTCAGAGAAGTGTACCCGAATTTACCTGAAAGCCACCATTTCCAGTGACTTCGACGGTAACAGGAGGCCGGCGGCTAGTCAAAGGTTTTCCCTATTTTTCTTGTTAAAGTGACAGAAGGACGTTCACGAAGATAAGTCACATTTAATAATACCCAATAATGGGAGGAGCTTTGACAAGCCGTCAACTTCCTGTACCCATTGACGAAGATGGTTATCTTGAGGTTATCTTGAGATGATTTCGGGGCTTTGGTGTCCCCGCGGCCCGGTCCTCGACCAGGCCTCCACCCGTGACAGCTGACAGCAGCCCGTGACAGCTGACTAACACCCAGGTACCTATTTTACTGCTAGGTAACAGGGGCATAGAGTGAAAGAAACTCAGCCCATTGTTTCTCCCGGAATCGAACCCGGGACCACAGGATCACAAGTCCAGTGTGCTGTCCGCTCGGCCGACCGGCTCCCGTTCACAAGTAAATTTGGATAGAATTTATCTCTCCAAAGGCTGCGGATTGCATTATGGTTGACAGGGTATGACTCCAACTAAGAAAGTTTTTTGGGAGAAAGGAGTTTAGCAGAGGCGTTTGCGAAGGCAGGGGGACGCCAAGACATTGCTAACAACCCAACAAAACTCGACTGTCTTATATTTGCTGGAAAGAAATATTTGAAAATAACGAAAATCATTCTGTCTGTTAGGTATATCGGATCTTGCGTATTTCCATGCTCTGAAACTCTCCCTGGACAGATGTAATAGGACCCATTATCACCACACCAGAAATAAATATCTCTTTGATATCCCCAGGGTCAAACTTAATCTGTGTAAACACTCTATGCAAATTAAGGGACCTAGTCTATGGAACTCACTCCCTAGTGAATTGAAAATCTGTCAAACTTTTGCCTCATTTAAAAACAAAAACAAAAAGTACCTAATTTCATCTTCGTAGTTTCCTACACTGAGCTTTAAATTTGCTCTGTATCCAGTGTTACCCAATCTCCCAATCTCTATGTACTTAATCCAAACAACTCTATCATTGTGTTCATTGCTGTCTTCTTTTATGTGCTAGCCATATGCTGTATTGTGCCTACTAATTTTTGTTAAACTACCATTCAAGCTGTCATTGCAATCACTCTGAGCTACCTATGTCTTTTAATATACCTACAATTTTCTCTCTCTTTTTTTTCTTGCTATGTACCTGTTATCATTTTTATATATTTTGCTAGTATTTACCTACTTAAAATTTTCTTAGATTAAGGACCTGCCCGAAACGCTGCGCGTACTAGTGGCTTTACAAGAATGTAATTACTATGCTATGTATACTCACAATCCCAATCCCAATGTACCTTCTTGTATATATATAAATAAATAAATAAATAAATAAATAAATAAATAAATAAATAAATAAATAAATAAATAAATAAATAAATAAATAAATAAATAAATAAGTAACCCATGTTTACTCTTAAAGAAGGGGAGTTCGGAGGTCACGCTGACTAAAGACTGGGTTACTATATATTTATAGATATAGTCTTTGGACGGTAAATATATTACATCAGTAATGAGAAAGATAATTGATACTAAAATATTTGATAAAAACGTGACATTCTGAATTAGAATTTACATTGTAAAGATATAAGAGAATACTTTAAGTCGGGAGAAGAGAAACGGACAGCAGATGTGGCGCGAAGCCGCAGTCAGGGTTGCCAGATTGGGCTACAAGTAGCGAATTGGGCTACTTTTGATAGCCCCGTGCTCCTAAATTTGTAATTTCGCTACTTGCTACTTTTTGGGCTAATTTGGGCTATTAATGTTAGGAAACTCAATGATGATTATTTATGGTCAGATGCAACACAGACAATCACCCCGCGACAGCAGCCACAGACTGACGATTTCAAAGCCGCCAAAAATTGAGAAAAGATGTACACGTTCTTTGACCTGCTGGCCCCGGGAAGGATTGACCGGGCGACAATACTTAACTGTTCACCCAGCAGAGAATAGGTTGTTAAACGATTTGGCGGGTCGTATTCCGGGAAAAACATTAGGATTAAGGACCTGCCCGAAACACTATGCATGCTAGTGGCTTTACAAGAATTTAAGAACTCTTTTTATATATATATAAACAAAAAATTAAAAAAATCCTCATGTGTGCGATGAAACTTGTATCTGGCATAATTAAAATATTAACTTAAATAATTCGCTTGTTAGACAATATATGATATTCAGATCTATAAATTACTTTAGAAATCTGTGGCCTATAATGCATATATAAATATTAATTTACACATTCCTGGTGATATACGCTAGGAATTTCAATATGGAGTTCAAATAATTTTAGGCAGGGGGTCTCTGGGGCCGGTTGGTCGCATCCGGGTCATCACGCTACCCCCGCCAGTCGTCAGGAAGCAGCGGCGGCGTGAGCATGTCGCTCCCGTGTAGGTAAGGCTGATAATTTTTTTTTGCTATCTGAGCAGTTGGGAGGTAGCATGAATATATAATCTACCTCCACCTACAATGCTTAATGCATTTTACATTTGTTTGCTATTATAACAATGAGTTTTTGTAATGTCTACGAGGGTCATTGTTTCCGTATTGTTTTTTTCATCCGGGTTGTGTAGTATTCAAATGTTTGTATTCCACTAATGCTAAATAGTCTGTCCTCTCTCGGATATTGTGGAAGATTTTGAGGATCATGATTTACCAACTTTATATGGGGTAGGATATTATGTAGAATACACTTCCCCATAGTGTTAAAGCACCCCATCGTTAGGCTAGGCTCGTTAACGCGGCGGTCGAAAAGACGCATTTATTATCGACTTTCACGTACCACCTATTAAAGATAGCATTTATTATTAACTTTCATGTACTGTGTATTAAAAATAGTTTTTTATCGTGCTTCCGGGGCTTAGCGTCCCCGCGGCTATGTTTAATTAGGCCTCCAATATAGTAGGTTCGGTATTTAGGTTCTGTTGGCAATTATTTGCACTTGAAGTATGTGGAGGGTGAAGCATTTACAGTTGCCTGTCTTCAGGCCAGGCTCGCCTACGCTGCCGCCCGACCCGCATTCGTCAATTTTATCGCAGTGCTAATTGATTTCGTCAATAAAGATGTTAATAATAATAATTAGTGTGAATTCAGAATTATTCTCGCGTATAACGTAATATTATTTTATCAAGTTAATAGTTTTAAAACTAAGTTTAGTGACAAGCGACAGTTTTGTGTACAAATACTGTAATATATGAACAATTTCCTAACGGGAAGGAGCGGGGACACCCTTCCAGGAACTGAATTTACCCGAGAGCCACTAACACTAGTGGCCTCGATGAGGACAGTAATCCGGCGGCTTGTCAAAGGTCTCCCCATTTGCCCTGATCTTTTCCAGCTGTATTTTAAAATCCAGAAGTTTCGGCGTTTATGGCATCGGCGGGTAGGCAGTTCCACGGGTTTACAACCCTATGGGTAAAAAAGAATCTCCTGTTTCCTGTCCAACATTCTAGTTTGTTGAGTTTGAACCCGTTGCTCCCTGTTCATGTAACATCTGACTTTTTGAAGATTGTCCTGATCGACATCCTCTAAATTGTTTAGTATTTTAAAGGTTTCTATGAAGTCCGCCCTGTCATGCCTGGTTTGTGGTGTTGTTAGCCCTGTGGCCCTCAACCGTTCCTGATACGAGAGATGACTAAGCTCTGGTATGATTTTTGTCGTAAGACATAGCTCCATAGCTCTGGTAAGACATGGCTACAGAGCAGCTATGACTTTCTGAAGATGAGGTCTCCATGCCTGGATGCAATAATTCATGTGGCGGAGCACCAGAAACTTATACAATTGAAGGTCTACTTCATTTTCCTTGAAGGTAAAGATACGCATGATTATTCCCAGGGTTTGGTTTGCTTTTTTACTGCCGCTCCCATTTGTTGTACAACTGTCAGTGATTGGTGGATTCTGACTCCAAGATAATGTTGATGATTTGGTAGTTGTGTACTGTTGGGCCTCACGTGATGGATTCTGACTCCAAGGTCCTTTTCTTTATCTGTTGAAAGGTGGTGCTGTCAATTAGGTAGTTGTGACGTGGATTGTTATGCCCCACATGCAAGGTCTTGTATTTATCGACATTAAAAAGTCATCTGACCATTTGTGGAGTTCATGTAGATCTCTTTGTAAGGTTTCAATATGGCTTTCACTTCCCACTTTACCATAGATCTTAGTGTCATCTGCAAATTTGATGTGGTTTGTAATATTCTCATCTATGTCATTGATGTATATGACAAAAAGGGTTGGCCCTAAAATGGACCAC